TAATAATATTATTATAATATCGGTAGGACGCTTATAGGTATTAAATCAGAAAAAGAAGTGACGCTAATATTTTTACTGTGACTAAAGGTCGTTTCCATAACTTGATAAATACTTTTTCTTCAAAACATTTGTTTGTAATGTTTAGAATGTGACTAGAAATAACGTGAAAACAGAGTTTCAACAAGAGAAATATTCCATCAATCCCCAAGGCATTTGATTTTAGAAATTTAAATATTGCGTGCAAATCTTGATAATCTATCGGTTTCAAATAAAATATATGATTAGTATAATAAATGCATATGACGATAAGTAGAAACGTATGTCGCTCGGGTTACCAGTCCTTCATGTTCCATACTGTGGACATGCCCACGATCGTCGTTTGTTTCTCTTATAAGTTTCCGCAAGACTATTGTATTTCTTTGTAAGAATATTACATACTATATCCTTCTTCACCTTCATAGCTGACATCCATGTTTACAAACATAGCAAGAATGAAACGTGACGGTGTTATATAATTTGATTGATGAGCGTAAGACGCGCCGTCATTCTATTAGACGTACAATAATAAGTAAGCTGGATGTATACCAAGCCATCAAACTTTCATCAAGTTTGGTCTGTTTGCGTGGTAACTAATTGCTGTAGTCTGAGCTTTGCTTTCTTTACCTACACTGCAGCAATTAGATAAAAGGCAGTTAGGTGTTTTGTTAGTTCCTAAAAAAAAAAACTGGCGAGGAAGTATCGTAACTAAAAAAAATTTCGAAATCGAGATATATTTTTTAAAGGCGAGGTACTGTATCTAGGAACTTATCCATCGTAGAGGCTTGCGGCAAAAAAAAATAATACTAAAACGGCCAAGAAAAATCGGAACAAAAATAGAGAGTTTGTATTTCAAATTCTTTGAACCGATGAAGCCACCTTTTGTAGTGACGGGAGAGTCAACCCGCACAATATGCATTATTGGTCTGCAGAAAATTCGCATTGCTTGCGTGAAGTTTAGCACCAAGGGCGTTAGCATACTGGGAGGCAGAATTATTGGGTCATATCTGTTCGAGCAATCCCTAAATGGCAATGGTCTTTCTTGACTTTTTGAACAATCAGTTACCGATGTTGTTGGAAGATGTGACACTGGAAACACGGCAAAACTTGTTTTTGCAACTGGATGGTTGCCCAGCACATTTTGCTATTACCGTTATTAATGCAGTATTTCAACAGCGGTGGATTGGAAGATAAAATCTGTTTCCATGGCCTTCACCAGACTTAACTTGCTTTGATTTTATTTATGAGGACGGTTTCAGACTCAAGCTACAACCAGAGAAGATGTGAAAAACCGGATTTATACGAGGGGGGTGTCTTTTAAGTTTTGGGTGTTTCAAGGTGGTGAAAAGCCAGCAAAAGTCATCCGTTCTCGAAGTGTTTCGAAAAAGGCGTGACATTTGTGTCAAAAGCGGGTCATTTTGCAACAATTCCTCTTAATGAGCAAAGAACTGTTACTGCGGATTGGTATACCACCATTTGTTTGCCAAAAGTCATCACCGAGTTTCGAAAAATCAACCCCGAAAGAAGAATCATCCTCCACCAAGACAATGCAAGCTCGCACACAGCCCAAAGAACAAGGCAGTATTTAACGGAAGAAAACGTGGAATTATTGGACCATCCTCCATATAGTCCCGATCTAAGTCCTAACGACTTCTTTACTTTCCCGAAAATTAAAATTCAGACTGCGTGGTCGAAGGTTCCAGTCACCAGAAGAAGCAGTTGATGCATTCAAAAATGCCGTTTTGGATCTGCCAGCAAACGAGTGGAGTAAATTGGTTGCGCTTGTAGATGTGTATTAATCTTCGTGGAGAATACTTTGAAAAACAATAAAGTCATTTAAAACTACCTTGTTTTATTTCCATATGCAAAACTTAAAAGACATCCCTCGTAATCCAATACGTAACATACCGAGAGCCGAAATTGCAAATTGCTGCAGTTTTGTCTAGCCATGAGAGGGTTCAGGAATGTATAGAGCGTGATGGTTAGTATTTTGAGCATTCTTCTTTAAATTGTCCCTTTTCAGGGGCACAACTCAATAATAAAAAGAACCTAAGTGAACCTACCTAATCACGATTAGATTTCGCATTTTGAAACTAATGACTCATATCTTTTCTGTGAAACACCCTACCAAGACGTATGAAGTATAAAGTTGACGCAATTTTTATTATTTTGACGCCAATACATTTCTATGATTATAATCACAAAATATATCATTGATCAGGACGTTGCAAATTGAGCAATCTCCTACGCATCATATCCCACACGTGCTCAATTGGGGATAAGTAGGGAGATCTTGGTGGCCATGGTAACAATGTGACATCATTATGTTGAAAGAAGTCTATTGTGGTCGGGCACTATCTTGTTGGAAAGTTGGATCTGCCAGGGTGTCAAGATAGGGTAAAAGATTCTAGAACTTCGTGGATATAACGCTGCGCGTTCATGTTACCTCTGATGAAGATTAAAGGTGACCTGGAACCATAAGCTATAGCACCCCAAACCATAACTCCAACAGTGTGATGAACATGTCTTTCAACAAAAAACTGTGGATTCCTCCTTTCACCACGTCGCCTTCTAACCCTGGCACGATCATCGTGCATGCCTAAACAAAATCGAGACTCGTCACTAAAGACAATACTGTTCCATTCCTGATCCCAGAATGACCGTTGTCTGCACCACTCAAGGCGATTACGTCGGTGTTCTCGAGTTAAAGGGAGGACCCAGTGTGGCCGGTATGAAAACAAGCCAAAACTTCTCATTCGTCGGTTAACACTTCGCATGCCAATAGGTCTTCCGTGTTCTGCAAACCATTCATTTGCAATGGACCTGGTAGTGGAGAAACGATCCCTTAAGGCCAATAATCTTAGGCGGCGATCTTCACGGTCTGTTGTTCTACGGCGGCGTCCAGTGCCCCTTGCTCTTTGCGTACGGCCTTCTCGAAGCCATGCCTGACAACACCTAACCACAGTGTCTACACTTCTTTGCACTCTAACTGCAATTGCCGAAAAGAAAGTCCCACTATACGGCCCCTATCAAACTCACTAAGTTGACGAAATCTACTCTAGGCATCGTAACCGATCGTAAAGGATGTCAAGAACCAAAATCCGCCAACGTTGATTCTTTACTGCGGCTGAAATATTCATTTTTAGAGCGTTAGTGAATTAAAAAAAAGCAGTATAAAAACCGGAATGTCCAACTGATAAGACTGAAAATTTTTTCACTTGTTATTTACAGAAATACATTCACCAACTTTTATTAAAATAAAACCATTTAAACTGGGTGTTCGGATTTATATACTAAGTGACATATAAATCCGAACACCCAGTTTAAATTTTAATAAAAGTTGGTGAATGTATTTATCTTACTGTAAATAACAATTGAAAAAATTTTCAGCCTTATCAGTTGGACATTCCGGTTTTTATACTGCTTTTTTTCAATTCACTAACGCTCTAAAAATAAATATTTCAGCCGCAGTAAAGAATCAACGTTGGCGGATTTTGGTTCTTGATATCCTTTACGATCGGTTACGATGCCTAGAGTGTGGAGACCTGTACGATTTCGTCAACTTAGTGAGTTTGATAGGGGCCGTATAGTGGGACTTCGGGAAGCTGGACTTTCTTTTCGGGCAATTACAGTTAGAGTGCAAAGAAGTGTAGACACTGTGGTTATGTGTTGTCAGGCATGGCTTCGAGAAGGCCGTACGCAAAGAGCAAGGGGCACTGGACGCCGCCGTAGAACAACAGACCGTGAAGATCGCCGCCTAAGATTATTGGCCTTAAGGGATCGTTTCTCCACTACCAGGTCCATTGCAAATGAATGGTTTGCAGAACACGGAAGACCTATTGGCATGCGAAGTGTTTACCGACGAATGAGAAGTTTTGGCTTGTTTTCATACCGGCCACACTGGGTCCTCCCTTTAACTCGAGAACACCGACGTAATCGCCTTGAGTGGTGCAGACAACGGTCACTCTGGGATCAGGAATGGAACAGTATTGTCTTTAGTGACGAGTCTCGATTTTGTTTAGGCATGCACGATGGTCGTGCCAGGGTTAGAAGGCGACGTGGTGAAAGGAGGAATCCACAGTTTTTTGTTGAAAGACATGTTCATCACACTGTTGCAGTTATGGTTTGGGGTGCTATAGCTTATGGTTCTAGGTCACCTTTAATCTTCATCAGAGGTAACATGAACGCGCAGCGTTATATCCACGAAGTTCTAGAACCCCATCTTTTACCCTATCTTGACACCTTGGCAGATCCAACTTTCCTACAAGATAATGCCCGACCACATGTTGCAAGAGTCACAATAGACTTCTTTCAACATAATGATGTCACATTGTTACCATGGTCACCAAGATCTCCCGACTTATCCCCAATTGAGCACGTATGGGATATGATGGGTAGGAGATTGCTCAATTTGCAACGTCCTCCTCAGACTCTAGAAGCACTTCGAGAGGAGTTGGTGGTTGCCTGGAATGAGATGCCACAGGAGGACATTGACCACCTGATCAGAAGCATGCCTAGGCGCGTTGGAGAATGCGTAGCATATCAGGGTGCATCCACAAATTATTAAAGGTCAAAGGGCTTTAAAGCCGTGCAATCATTTTGAAATTTTATCATTTACTTATTATGCTTCATTAAGTACTTATACAAAATTTTATTAAAATAAAACCATTTAAACTGGGTGTTCGGATTTATATGTCACTTAGTATAATAGAAACACTCATCTAGTCGATGATACAACACTGAAACCTAACTACGATGGACCAAAAGCATTCAACTGAGACAAGCTGCCTCGGCGTCTGCTCAGGTGCATCTGCAGGCACAATGCGCGTCTGCACGACAGACGCACTGTTCCACATTCGCGGTAGCAAAGTGAACCAACCGCGCGGATGCGATCGAACGGCGGTACCACGCTTCTACTCGCCAACATCTCCCGCTCTCTCTGTCTTCCTCTCTTATAAATAGTTGTTAGGTTATCGCGGCCTTCGCACAAGTTCAAGGCACCATCCGCGGTCCACTGCCCCCGATTCTAGATTCACCATGAGATTGTTAAGGAACTACAGTGATTGCTTCTTCCTGCTCTGTTTGAGTTTCTATGTACTGTTTTTCTGGTTCGTCGAGGGTGCAGATGCGGAAGCGGCTACGAATTCATCCGCTTTGATAAAAAGTGCCGTCGAGGGACTCTCGAGGGGCGGCAGGGAGTACAATTTGATCTACGCGAGACTGATCGGTTGTGCGGTGCAACGGGATACGCGGTGTTTTGTCGATATCGCCGAGGATTTTCTGGAGAATAAGAGGAATGAACTGCTTGGTAAGTATCGTTATATATATATTATTAAATAGTACAGAATCGATAAACGACAATGCCAGGGCAAACAAGCAATGAAGGGGAGATGCTTCTATTTATTGTAATCGCGAAATTTTTCGAAAATGTTTACAGGGTGTTCCTTAATGATATGCGAATATTTAAGAGTATAATACAAGAATTATTATATTATATAAGTCGACGTCAAGCCGAAACCGGGTGATAGGCAAAGTCATAACAGCTATCAGAAAAATATTTAAAAAAAATTTATGTATGTGTTTGAAAATTATAGGTCTTTGAAAAAGATATAGAAATTTCACACCCTACGGCAGTCTGTCAACTCCTGTTACTACAATATTAACTTTTTTTGGATTTTATTTTTACAATGTAATGATGAATAATGCATCTTCAAACTGGTGTCTCAACCTTACTGCAACTTTTCTCATTCAGGAAAAATTGCCACTTATTTCCCAACCAAGTATTCCAAAGTAAAACTTTGCTCAACTTTAACTGGCTGTACTGGAAAAAAATGTACTACGAGAGTTTGGCAAGTAACCTTAAAAGTTGGCGCATTTAATAACGATTCCAAAATGGTATAACACTTAGAAGATTACTCGTTAATTTATGCACAATTTTTATTTGAAAAGAAACTGATGAAAATTTTTCAAAATTTACTAATTAAACAGCGATTATGAAAACGCACAAGGACCCTTAAGGATAAATGTTTGCACAACAGTGGGCGTCAAAATGCTGCTGATGATGATTTACCTTTACAGCAAATGCTCAAACTGTTTTCCTTCAGCCGCAATACACGCTCGACATCTTCTTAAAAAAGATCGGGTTATTAAACGAGCGAATCCACGGTTATTAACAAACTCAGCTGCTTCCAATAGTCTTTGCCGTAGCTTAGCTACATTTTGAATTGGCTTAAAATACACTTTTTCTTTTACAGTTCCCCAGTAAAAAAATCTAAAGGATTCAAATCAGGTGATCGGGCTGGCCACGGTATTGTACCAGACCGCCTTATCCATCTGCCTGGAAAGTTTTGATCGAGATCTCTCTCACTGAGAGTGCATAGTGCGCTGGGCAGCCATCATGCTGAAACCACATGTCCCTGTAAATACTCAGTGGCACGTCCACCAATAAATTTTGTACATGATTTTTCAAAAAATCCAAATAAACTTCAGCAGACAAAGTCTCTGGGAACTCAAACGGACCGATTATTTTACCATTTAAAATTCCTGTCCAATGGTTTATCTTGAAGCGATATTGAGATTTATCTTCTCTCATCAAATGTGGGTTTGCTACGTGCCACTCGTGTAAGCTATGCAGGTTCATGTACCCATCTTTCTTAAATGTGGTCTCATCCGACCATAAAATTTTTTCAAAGAATTGTGGATCTTTCCTGTGTCTTTCTAACATTGTGCGACAAAAAGCTACTCGGGGCTCATAATCCCGGGCAGGAGAGGTTGAACACGCTGTATGTGGAATGGATGAAGCACATCACTTACTTGCTATTGCACACTTTGATACCGATCAGTACTCCTTCGTTTACTGCGCATCTTTACATGTTCGTGCTTGTTGATTTCGTACTGTTACTAATTTTGAATTCGTGAACTGATCGCTTGTGATTTGGATTTGGACTGTTTAATTGCTCTTCAAAACAACATTTGCTTTCCTTAGACTATCTTTGATAGTGTGATTGTGCAGTGCCGCTATGTCCGTGTACACCGTACAAGAATATGCCAACATGCACCTCATTTATGAGGAATGCAGATGCAACGCTAGTGCTGCAGCGAGACTTTACTGTGAGGGGTACCCGAATGCAGCTCGTCATCCAGATCATCAAGTGTTCACAAATGTGCACCGCTTACTGTTCTCAGAGGGCCAACAACCAAACCAATCACACGGTGAGGGAAGATATTTCCTTCCTTACGAAGACGTGGTGCTAGGAGCTGTCGAAGAAGGCCCGAGTACTTCAGTGCGTGCAATAGAACTAAAAACAAGTGTGCCCAAAAGTACAGCCCATAGAATCTTGCAAAAAGACGTGCTCCATCCATACCACGTATAGCGTGTGCAAGCTCTTCTGGCCCGGGATTATGGGCCCCGAGTTGCTTTTTGTCGCACAATGTTAGAAAGACACAGGGAAGATCCACGGTTCTTTGAAAAAATTTTATGGTCAGATGAGACCACATTTAAGAAAGATGGGTACATGAACCTGCATAACTTACACGAGTGGCACGTAGCAAACCCACATTTGATGAGAGAAGATATCGCTTCAAGATAAACCATTGGACAGGAATTTTAAATGGTAAAATAATCGGTCCGTTTGAGTTCCCAGAGACTTTGACTGCAGAGGTTTATTTAGGTTTTTTGCAAAATCATTTAGAAAATTTATTGGAGGACGTGCCGCTGGGTATGTACAGGGACATGTGGTTTCAGCATGATGGCTGCCCAGCGCACTATGCACTCTCAGTGAGAGAGTATCTCGATCAAAACTTTCCAGGCAGATGGATAGGGCGGTCTGGTACAAAACCGTGGCCAGCCCGGTCACCAGATTTGAATGCGTTAAATTTTTTTACTGGGGAACTGTAAAAGAAAAAGTGTATTTCAAGCCGATTCAAAATGTAGCTGAGCTAGGGCAAAGACTATTGGAAGCAGCTGAATTTGTTAATAACCGTGAATTCGCTCATTTAATAACCCGATCTTTTTTAAGAGATGTCGAGCGTGTATTGCGGCTGAAGGAAAACAGTTTGAGCATTTGCTGTAAAGGTAAATCATCATCAGCAGCATTTTGAGGCCCACTGTTGTGCAAACAGTTATCCTTAAGGGTCCTTGTGCGTTTTCATAATCGCTGTTTAATTAGGAAATTTTGAAAAATTTTCATCAGTTTTTCTTCAAATAAAAATTGTGCATAAATTAACGTGTAATCTTCTAAGTGCTATACCATTTTGGAATCCTTATTAAATGCGCCAACTTTTAAGGTTACTTGCCAAACTCTCGCAGTACATTTTTTCCAATACAGCCAGTTAAAGTTGAGCAAAGTTTTACTTTGCAATACTTGGTTGGGAAATAAGTGGCAATTTTTCCTGAACGAGAAAAGTTAGCAGTAAGGTTGAGACACCAGTTTGAAGATGCATTATTCATCATTACATTGTAAAAATAAAATCCAAAAAAGGTTAATATTTGTAGTAACAGGAGTTGACAGACTGCCGTAGGGTGTGAAATTTCTATATTTTTTTCAAAGACCTATAATTTTCAAAACACAGACATAAAATTTTTTTAAATATTTTTCTGATAGCTGTTATGACTTTTCCTATCACCCGGTTTCGGCTTGACGTCGACTTCTGGGACACCCTGTATAATAATAATAATAATAATAATAATAATAGTAATAATAATAAAATGCCTTTTATTTTCCTGGAGAGGATTCAGCTAGCAGCTGTTATTAATCCCTGACCATGGCACCAATTGTTTACAAACATGTTTACAATAAGGTCATTAATAAATTTAATAATTGATCAGAATTAAGAAAAAAAGGGTCTGATTACATTTATATACATAGATAGGACGTCATTAAATATGAGCTCCTTGATTTGTGCTATTTGAAACTTCTCAGCATCAGGGTATACATAACTTCGGTGTCTATTTGGCGAATTGGACCTCACCTAGATTGTCACCAAATAGTGACTCATAGCCAGATATTTAGATAAATCTTGGCATTGCATCTACTTTTCCACATCAGCCATTAAAACTGTTACACGTGCGGTCTTGGATTTACGGATATGACCTAAATTCGGTGATAGAGATACCTCTAGATCATGTGCATCAATTTAAGGTTTCTCAAGCATTTATATCAAATCAAGCGCAATGTTATTTCATTATTACGTTGTGTCGTTTTGAAATTGAATCGCTGATAGTAAAAGTATTTGAAGTATCATCTGAAACACAAATGTAAAAGTATGTTAATTAGACGAAGCCTATATATCACTTTCATGCACCATTATTATATGATAATGTCATTTGTGATTTCAATTGTGTTTAGGAGTTCATTTATATGTATTTTTACGATAGAAAAAAAATTGTTCGATGCTATTCAGTAATGGGTATGGCACACACAAAATGTTGTACATGGGAATAACTGAGGAGATATGGAGGATGGTCCAATAATTCGACGTTTTCTTCCGAGAACGGATGACTTTTGTTGGCTTTTCTTCACCTTGGAACACCCAAACAACCGACTGTCGTTTATTTTCTGGTTCACAACAGTAAATCCACGATTCATCACCACTAACAAAGCTGTACACATTTTTTGAGTTTCCAGAATTGAAACAGTCAAGCGTTTTTAGACACCGATTAACCCTGGCTGCTTTCTGCTCTTCAGTCAACAGTATCCAACGAGAAACTAATTTTCTTACTCCTAATTCCTCATGTAAAATTTGTTGAATTGAGGTCTTTGAGATCTTCAAGGACGCCTCAATCTCGCGATATGTCACATGTCTATCTTTAATGATGAGTTTGCGCACAGCATCGACGTTTTCCTGGTTGACTGCCGTTTTTGGTGCACCTACCCTGGGATCGTCGCTAAGACTCACCCGTCCACGTTTGAATTCTTCATACCAACGGGAAATTGTAGACTGATGTGGCGCTTCGTTGCTCGTACATGTCCTACGATGTATTCAGCGAGATGCAGATGCAGCTTATCCAATCGACGCCAATCTTTCAAATTAGACAATGGACAGTGAAAAATACTGACAATCGGTGACTTCAAAGAACAATTCCAAAGTAGTCGGCAAGTATTAATATTCCACAATGAATATTGCTACTAATACCGTTAATAAAGAGCAAAAAAATCAGTGGTCCCAAATTTGAACCCTGTGGAACCCCTGAAGATGCTGCTCAGCGAAAAGACTCGACGTCATTGTATATTGTGAATAGCTGACGATTATGTAAATAGGAAATTAACGAAGATATCCAGTTATCAGTGGAACCAAACAAATTCAATT